TTTAATGTTGCATACAAAATTTTGGGTCTTTATCTCTTTGACGCACCAATTGTAGTTTCTTGTAAGGAAGAAACGTTTTTTGTAAGGAAGAAACGAAAGATGAACGTTTCCTTTATCGGAAGTTTAAAGTCGAATACCGCAGGCAGGACAGATTTAATTATGCGGCGGATTGTAAATTTAAGAATTCACACGGTACGCGGCACGATCGAGGAGAAGAAAACGAAATAGGGAAAGAAGGGAGAGAAGAAACCGCAGACACGAAAGAGGAAAAGAAGGAGGTGAATAAAGAACTAAAGTGGTTCCGACCGGTAAGAGGCCATCGGCACGACGGTTAAATTCATTAGGCCGACATTGCAATGGCGCGGACGACGATTCTGCGCGGAATATCAATGAATTCGTGGGCTCGGTGGACCCGTGCGACACGCGGTATTTAGGGTCCGGGCGGTCGGTAGACATAAATCGAGAGATACCCGATAAAACGGGCGAAAAAATATGAGTTGCACCCAGAATAAATAACGTACACAGGGGATGCTGCGGTCAAACGTGGGGTTATGAATTACAGCTTATGAAAGGCGCGCCGCGGGGCAACGGGGAGAGAAGCGAATGTGCATGAAGGGGCACAGAATAGGGGCTGTCTACAACCCTCCGGATTTTCGGGAACGAAATTCACTCGTCGCAGACGCCAATCGAGGCGGAAATTTACTTTCCCTCCCTCGATGGCGTCCGTTCACCTCCGGGGGTTTTTCCTCGCGCTGGCAATCGACCCACTTTCCGGCACGCACTCGCAGTCGATATATGTTCGTGCCCTCCCGGTACACGTCGCTGAACATAGAAGCCAGCGTGCCACTCCAGTTGGCACTCGCCAGAAAAGTAAGGGCACTGATAAACGATCGTCAGGGTTGGCGTCAGATGGCGAACAAGAAAATAGACTTCAGGATTGAAAGATTGAGAGTAAAGTTGTTTAAATAAATAGCTGAAGGAATAACGTCTTATTTTTTATTTATTATGTATAATTATTTCTTATGGGATTATTTCTCTATATTTACGTATCTATATCAGTCTGATTTCATCCACTGTTGGATACTGAGCCTCTTCTAACTTTTTCCATTCTACATGATCTTTGGAAAGAGTTTGGTATTAAAACATTATACGCCATGCATGTTGATTATTTCTCTGCACTCTAAAAAATAGGGATATAGATTTAACATGTGGTGTTTATATAATTTACACCATATTGATATTAATATACGATGTTAAATCCACACCTATATTTCTTAGAGTGTATACAACAGATGCATTAATGGTTAAAAATTTACTAAGTTGGATAAGATATAATGAAAAACGGGACGGGAGCTGTTTCAGCTTTTGCTTCAGGTAAGAAAATCCTTAGTTACGGTCCTATAGGTGTATATTTTATCTTGGATGGGCGCATAAAGGTTTAAAACCGGCTTTGGATAGTGTGAACGCGAATAAATCGGTTCTAGTGAATAGCACTCGTGCACCGTGAAAGATGGTGTCTCTTTTTATTAACGGAGAGAATGTGATTGTCCTCAACAAGAGCGCGTGTTGAGTTGTCGCTGGCATCTCCATTCGGGATCATAATGCAGATGTAACGAATAGACCGGTGCACTGTTTTGTAAATAGAAGCTATATTGAATGGCGTAATCGTTCGTTGTCATAAAAAAATTCAATTCGAAGATTATAATCACGAAATCATAGATAGAGAACGGAATTTATGATATGTGTATCATCTTCGAATCAGGTCCAATCTTGCAAGCTTATGAGAAATTCGACGACGTGTGCGTGATGTACGGAAATGCTGACGTAGTTGGAACATGACCCTAATCCATAGCGTGAGTCTGACGGTTTCTGCATTAGAGCAAGAATCTGTCTTATTGCCAAAGGTACTTAGAAATCATGAATATTTATCAAATATGTGTTGTTTCGGAGTGATTAATTTTATTCTGCCAATTTATTTTCAAAAATTTGTACGCAGTCAATTTAATATTTCCGAAGTGTTAACACAGTGTGTTTTTAAATAACTGATATTTATAATATATTTATATGTTATATTTATAATTAATTCTCTGCTCACAAATGTTAGATTTTAAAGTATAGTCGATGTTTTTATTATCAATTTTGATAGATTTAAATCTGTAAAAAAATAAAATAAAATATGACCTTTATGATAAAAGACCTCTATGATAAAAGATTTATTGTTAAGGTTTTCAAATTTTGTATATAAAAATTTTTATATACAAAAAAAGATTTATATACAATCCGAAACAATATAAAAAATTGTACTGAAATTCGAAGATTCAGATTGTAGAGAGTCAAAATTTCACATTGCTGATGGAGGAAAGAATTTAGTAGTTTGAATTTTGAAAAGAACACTGAGAATCCCATTTCATTGAATAAACTAATCTCTTATTTGGATATGGACAAACAGATCCTTGATTGATGCAATAAAATAATTCAGTTAAAGCAGAAAATTTAGTTATTGTAATGTTTTATTTGTGTTATCAGAAACAAGTAAAATGTTACAATCCAAACTTTTTGCTTCAACTAAATATATATATTTAGTTGAACTAAATATATATATTTATTTATTACACTAACAGATTTGTTTGTCCATTTTCAAACAGCAGATTAGTTGATTTAATTAAATAGGAATTCTCAATGTAAAAATTAAAAAGATAAAGAAAGGAGAATATAAAAAAAGGAAAAAAGCAGCCGCTGAAAGTATCGCAAAGGCACTTTTCGTTTCTCACATTGCACGGAAAATTAAAAGTGGCTGTTCGCCACGTGGATTCGCGAGAAGGATATTCGACTAGTCGGACCAATACCGCGAAATACACTTTCGATGAGAATCGGATTCCCCGTTGGGCGTGTGGTAGGAACCTAATCCGGTACAACATTTTCCCAGACGGCAAATCTGATTTGCTGTCTTTCTCGCCCTGTTTCGTCCCTTCGCCGAAAATCCTCTTTCCGGCGTGTATACGCGCGTGCCTCTTTTGATTTAAAGCGGAGAGAGAGAAAGAAAGAGGAAAAAAAATCGTTTCTGGCTCTGACATTTTATTCGAAACGCAGATCGACAGGCAGCGAACGCAATAAGAAGGCGCGCAGCTGAATGCGCTACCGTAAAATAGGATGAACGCATGCCGAGACGCCACGGTATATACCGGGAAAGAAAAAGGGCGGGATATAAGAATTAAAGTGGAAACCCCGTGAGTCGTGCCAATTTTTCTGATACCGCGAAATCCGCTTTCGCTGATCTCGTAGATAAGTATAATAGATATGAATCGGTCAGGGTTGCTTAATGTTAATACTACCTTAAAGTCATTTTCTCGATTGTTTTTAGTTACTCTAATGTTATTTTTTACATAAAAATGTACATTAAAATGATTGCGTATATGTTAGAACGATGAATATCTATAAATTTAATTATAATTTTTAGAATTTTTTTTTTAATTTAATATATTTAGAAATGTTTAGAGTATACATGTGAATTCTCGATTTACTGTGAAACTTGTTCATCGAATTATTAAGAAAATATTGCAAACTTGTTTTCGACGTATAAAAACGAAGGTTGTTTTTGATGTGAAAATGCGAAAATAGTCGCGATAGGCGTAAATACATCGAATAACAACGTTTTTCTGCGCTACACCGAAAAAAATCATAGTAAAATGTGTTTTCCGGTAACAAAAAAAAAAGTCGCTTGTGACTCGTTCCACCGTTCGTCCAATTTTCCTGATCAATTTCCTGGCAATCAGCTAAGTGCCTTCATGCTCGTCACACGGATGCACATGCCGCTCTATATGTTAGATAGGCAGGTATCGGTATCGACGCATACGCCAGTGCGTTTAACACAAAGATAGAGAGAAAAAGAGAGAGAGAGAGAGAGAGAGAGAGAGAGAGAGAGAGAGAGAGAACCTGGCTTTTGCGCGGGCTTGTTTATTTTACCTTTTACCCTCGTTAAGCCTCGGAAGCCTTTGAAAGGCCGTGAGGGGTCGGGCGAGCTCTGTAGGTACTTTGAAAAATGGGGATCAACGCTCAGCCGACACGATAATAACTTCGGGTTGTTGCACCCAAATTTACCTCGCTCGGGTGTACCACGGGCGCCGATGTAAATATCGTGAATAGAG